GTTAAGATAAAACACACATACACACAAACGTACGAGAGCACAAAAACACACAACATACGAGGGCAGAGCAACACACAAACACCCACATTTTTGTTAAGGGATAAGCCTTTTGTTAAGAGATGCATACAATTGTAAAACTTGGGATTTTAGAATACTTTTCTAATATCAAAGATAGTGGATTTTTTAAGATAGATTTTCTGTTATTCAAGAGAGTCAGTTATAAAATACTTATTTAATTCTGAAATCAAACAGTGCCAGTTGTACAGTTATAGCCTTCTTTCTGGGACCAAAGAGAGACAATTTTACAACACTAACCACTTTTACATCATACGCCACTTGTGTGAGATCAGTCAGAACCAGTTTTTCAACACAGGCTTCTTGACTGGGATCAAAAAGAGGCAGGTTTACAACACTAACCGTTTTTCTTACAACACTAAACAACTTTATCAGATCTGTGTCGGTTTAACAAGATCAAACTTTCTGGTATCCATTTTGATAACACTAACCCCTGATATCTAACAGAGTGAGATTTACAATACTATCCACTTATTTTTTAGATCAAATATAGCAAGTTATAGGACACTGTCCATTTTATGAAATCAAACTGTCAGGTTTACAATATCAACTTTTCTGAGATCAAAGAAGCCAGATATACAACACAAGCCCTTTTTTTAGATCAAACATAGTCACTTATAAAACACTGGTCATTCAACTGAAATCAAGCAGTGTTTTAATATTCCGATCACGCGAATAACAGAATTTGAGGAGTATACATAAATATGTTGTGGAATTAAATATATTCTTGCAACATTGACATTTTTGAAATATCTGACATTTGATATAAAGACCGTTAAGACAACGCCAGTTTTAAAAGTCCAGAGTATAATCTCCTGAGGGAAAGATAATTTCCTAATCGGGACAGAATTCGTTGCATTCCATCCTGTATCAATTATCTATTGCGGGGAAAATAATGATTTACGTTTAAATGATCTCGAGGAGTTATTCATCCAATGATATCGAGGAGAGTTATTGATCCGAATGACGTCGAATAAGTATAGATACAAAAGACATCGAGTAATTATGGATTCAAATGACCTCGAATAGTTGTTATCTAGATGAATATAAAGAGGACTTGCCCAACAGATTACAATGTTGTAGTTCGTTTGACAGTTTTTTTTTGTATCGTGTGTGTAGTGAGTATAAACAATCCGTTATAATGAATGACTGTATAACATTTGAACACTATATAGAACAAACACTCTATATATCACACAGAGATATGTGTGTGTGTGTGTGTGTGTGTGTGTGTACATATTCAGCGGTATGAGAGTGCCGTCTTCACTATGACATACACAAGACACGAATTTAAACTGGACCAGCATTAAGCGTTTATCCCAAACCGTTGACCTAGAACGGCACCAACACGTGGCTTACGCCATGAATGGATCCCCTTTATATGTGATCATGTGTTTCCATAGTCAACAAAGGTTAGCAGTGAAAGGTACAGTTTGTAACTGTCACCAAATATATTATATGAACTTCACTCCGTCATGTGTAAAGTTTTCCAATGATAACTCAGAATGATTTTAGAATCAGTCTCGTTTGTGATTGGGATACATTAAATCCGACGACGAGTAGCGAGCTTTGCTTAATGCATCTTGAATATTATTTAACTTCATTTTAATTGGCTGTTTTAACAAGGAGACATTATGACAATTTGTCACGAGATGTACTGAAAATCACTAGAATTTTGTCTTTACACACTGGAAAACAGTCCACAATAATATGACACTAATTAATACAATTGTGAGTTAAGTTGAATAGATAAAGACTTGAAACTTGAAATCGAGACCTTTCTCGAAGGGACTTTATATGTGCAAACAGTAAGTGAATCTCTCTCTCTCTCTCTCTCTCTCTCTCTCTCTCTCTCTCTCTCTCTCTCTCTCTCTCTCTCTCTCTCTCTCTCTCTCTCTCTCATTACACCTGTTTTTTTCCTTTCTTTCTGGCTTTCTATCATTCCCATCCAGCCCGACAAATGTCAATCCATTAATACATAGTATAAATCCAGTTAGCAAGATTACCATTCTGATCGCATGCAAAAAAAATCGAACGGAACATAATTTATTTTTAAGAACTCAACCTCAAGTTATAACTATAAGGCCAACCGAGTCAAGGTCAATCAAGGTTATAATAATAACTCATGTATTACAAACGAGAGAGAGAGAGAGAGAGAGAGAGAGAGAGAGAGAGAGAGAGAGAGAGAGAGAGAGAGAGAGAGAGAGAGAGAGAGAGACTAAATATTATAGGTCCATTATTACAATGAAAAGCTAATTTATCACAATACACTATTTTTGTTCCTTTGTACATTTTCATAATAATCCTTATAACGGTCAATATTTATGCAAAAAAGTTAAGTACATACATACATACATACATACATACATACATACATACATACATACATACATACATACATACATACATACATACATACATACATACATACATATATACATATATACATACATATATATATACATATATACATACATATATATATATATATATATATATATATATATACACATATATATATATATATATATATATATATATATATGTATAGCGTTTCAACAGTGGGATATAGCTTCATTATTCTCCAAATAAAACGTATGTACCTTTCGTCAATAAACTGATTGAAACACTTTCTGAAAGTCAATAGATAATCATTTGGGTTTGTTACATTCAAATGGTCAATGAGGGAATGTAGGACAAAATTAGGATCTTTGCTCTTTACGAAATCCAACCTGGTTTTCTTCTAGAATACCAAAATAATGGATACAATCTGGTAATCTGCCTTTAGTACTGATGGGAATTTTTTAACCTGAATTTTCATAATTTAGTATAGTTGTTGTAATTACATACATACATAATTTAGTAAGGTTGTTGTAATTACATACATACATACATAATTTAGTATGGTTGTTGTAATTACACAAATACATACATAATTTAGTATGGTTGTTGTAATTACATACATACATACATACATACATACATACATACATACATACATACATACATACATACATACATACATACATACATACATACATACATACATACATACATACATACATACATACATACATACATACATACATACATACATACATACATACATACATACATACATACATACATACATACATACATACATACATACATACATAATTTAGTATGGTTGTTGTAATTACATCCATATATACATAATTTAGTATGGTTGTTGTACAGTAAATCTTTGGATTAACTCAACTTACTTATTCTTGTAATTATTAAAGCGTCAAGTATAATTTATGAATTAAAAGTTACATTGAATACACTATCATACGAAAAAAGCTTTAGTTTTAAGGACACTCTTGCTGTCATTTTGGTTAAGTTTTATAATTCTTCAATTCCATAACACTTGAAGTAACTTTATCACTAGTTTGTAAACAATAAGACTTTCCTTTTCAGTGTTTATATTACAGTTCACTTCACAAATCACATCTACCACTTGTATATAAGTTTTTTGCAAAATTATTTGAACCTGCAATTATTTACGTTCTACTTTTCGTCTTGCCCTTCTAGCATGCTCACAATTCTCCACAATACGTTGTTTCATTGAGCGAAGTTTTCTAATCATACCTCTTGTGATACTTCAGTGGATATCGACAAATTTATGCTTGTTTTCTTATAAAATCTACTTTTCTGTTTTAGTTTTTTTTCATTAATCTGTATTAAGATAATAATAGGTCCTTATCAGAATCGGTTCATTAGCTTTCTCGGCCCATAACGATATCGGACTAGCCCAGACGGGGTCCGTCATCAATCGCTAGGTCGCTCTAGGATTGGTACCGGTGAAAGTAGGCATGAATCAATTTATAAAATGGAGTCAAAAGACTTGAATCCTACTCGAATAAAGGCCGAATTTTAAGTTAGCTTTCAAATAAAAAGATTAGTCATTGAGCAAAAGATATTAGTCCGATAACTGACATTACGAATATTGGCTACCGTAAGAAACTACCTGTGCTACGTACTCCATTCTGCCATACAGACATCACAAGCACATGTATATTACTCTGAAACACTCGACACCGTGACCTGATTACTCACTGATGTATCCATTTGCTCATTTAATTACAGGTGTTTGGCGGGGTGGGGGAGACAATTTTTTTTCGGTAGTCGGAACTGCGAAGTTTTAGTTTACTGGGAAAATGATGATATTAAAGAAGAATAAACTTTGGGACGAAAAGAAATCGGTCTTAAAGTATTTCATTTGAACGTAACAGAAATGATTTTCTAATTAAATCTTGTATGGACCGAATCAATCATTGGTCGATTTTGCTACGTATCGACTCGCAATAAGCCGAGTATGTTATAGACATTTGTCCAGTCACCTAATAAGCACTTTTTTACCTCAATATTTTTCCTTTGTAGCCTCTGATGTTCACTTCCGAACTAAAATCTTCTGAGAATGAGTAACGACTTTGTGTCTAGTGGCATATGTTCTGATATGTGACGATACTTGTTCCTTAATAGGATTTAAATAATTTCAGTTTTCTAATAAATATATCGTTTTGGTTTAGTACAGGACAGTAATTTACTCATATCGTTAGGAGCTACACTGGCGCATATTTGTATTTTAACTCCATAAAAGTGATTTATTATAAATCCTTTACGTGCCTGATCTGGATCACATTGTTGGTTGTGTGTGTGTGTGTGTGTGTGTGTGTGTGTGTGTGTGTGTGTGTGTGTGTGATATTTATATTTTTAACGTAGCTTTAACGATTTTTCAGTCATATCGCTATTATCTCTGCCGTGTGACAGCTTATAGCGATATCTAGCAGTCACAACCAATCACATTATCCTGACACCAGGATGACCAGTCCTACCACTAACCGCCTAATGCTGAGCGCCAAGCGAGGAAGCTGTTAGTACCATTTTTAAAGTCTTTGGTAGGACACAGCTGGAGTTCGATCCCATGACCTCCCGCATCCAAGGCGGACGCTCTAACCACTAGGCCACCAGAGTGGTCCATTGTTGGAAGAAATTGCAAGGATAAATAATACATGATAGACACTAAAATGTCAAACTAGATTTAAATTAAAAAAACAAACTTAAACTCAATTTAGATTTAAATAACAACAATCCCACAACCCCCAATCTCCACCCCAAACATTGAAATCTTTCATATGTATTAAGGCTTACATTCTCGAATTGGATTAGTCAATCAAAGAAAAAATCACGAAAAGTGAAAGTACCAACATCTCTACCTTTACCACACCTTTCATTCATTATTAGATTATTTATCTAATATAGTCAATGTGTTTTTGTCACTGCTTTTTCGAACATTTTGTCGATACTAACACGTTTTTGTAATTATTGTTTTGAAATTTAAAGAGGAAACTTTGTTAAGTAATCTGTAATTGTATTCTGGCAAGTATTCTACAGTCATTGCTATTTGATGTTCTTGCCTTCATACATTTGGATGCGAAATACAAAATAAGGTAATTTCTGCATCTAACGGTTAATTATCATCGTCAGTTAAACATAATTTGTATTATATTTTGTCTCCTTACTGGATTAATAAATCTATAAATTTGGAATGATATTATAATTAGTCAAAATTGGTTTTGAAAATGTCCATATAATTATGATTTGCAACATTTCAAGCCACATATAAAGGGAAAGTATCTTTAATATCTATTGAATTATTGGGTAGGAATAATATATTTCCAAAACATTATAATTAAAAGAAATGTTTTGATCATTATTTGGGCTTGTAGAATTAATTTTCTGTACTGTTTGTGTGTTCAGCACTGTTATGATAGCTAATGTTTGTTTATGAATGATGAATTTCAAGAGCATTTACAAAAACAAAACTTGAAACTGTGCATATGAAACATCAAATCGGGCACAGCATCAGGATATGACAACATTCTGCCCGAGTTCATGAAGCATCTTGACCCGAAGGCAAAGGAATGGCGTCCCGCTTTTTACACCCAAGTTGTTAGGGAAAAGTGCATGTCCACTTTGTGGCTCCAGGCAAAGGTTTATGCGATTTCAAAGCCTGGAAAAGGTCACCACAATGAGGCGAGTTATCGGCCGATCTCCTTACTTTCGGTCTGTTTTAAGGCACTGAAGCGCCTGATTCTCCAAAGAATTTGTCCTGACTTGGAGAATATTATAACTGTTGAGCAGACAGGCACTTACGATCAAAATCTTGCTATCGGGACCTAATGTAGCTCATTTTTTTTTTTACCATGAAGTGGTACTAGTTAAGGACCTGGAGGATATGACAGACGTCTTCAAGAAATGGCTTCTACAGCCAAGCGCAACAAAGACAGTCTCCAGTGTCTTCCACCTTAACAATGCGAATGCGAACTGCGCGCTTTGTATTCTCTTCAATGGGCAGCAAATAAAACACAACCTGACAATATACAGATTACTGACATTCTACAACCACCTAAAGGAAACTGCAGCTAAACTTCGCAATCTAAACAACCAACTCCAAAAACTGGCTGGCTCTGTTTGTTCCCTTAGTACTTAGACCCTCAAGACATCATCACTGACAGCAGGGTATTGCGTTCTAGTCTGGGCTCGATTATCCCACACAAGTTAATTGATGTTCAGCTCCTCCACTTCTGCATCGCCACAAATGTGTTTACTAAGGTCTTTGCCAGTGACAAACTTTTACTCTACATGGACATCATCTCACATCCAGCAGTCCGTTTGACTTCGAGACACCCCATCCGGTTAGATTAGTTATCGGAGGATATGACAATTTTTTCGGTATGGAGTATTGAGTTGTCATCAGCAAAAGTTGTAAACCACTCGCTGGTAGCTGAGTCATCTGTCTGCCGTCCTGCTTCAACTTTCCATGTCATCTGTGGACCACGCCGAACCGCTTTCGGACATGATAGGGTCGTTGTTTAGTCAACCTTGTCCGATGGCCACTAACTCTTCTTGCTGCTGTGGAGCTTTTCTGACCATGTTGCGCAAGGTTCTCTGGTGGAATTCAGGCTCTGTGCCTTGCTGATGATGACTTTTTAAAATGGCCGAGCACGCATTGCTCATGACAATCATAATAAGGTCATTTCTCAAAACTTCTCTGTGGTTGATAAAATAAAACAAGTATTTTTCATCATGCAATAAACAAGATCTTTGAGATATGTCATCATTTATTTTTAGGTATTCCTCATTTCAGACATGATAGGTGAAACTGTTCAAACTAAATCAGCGTTTCGATCTTCAAGGCTAGCTAAAGACATTCAACTTGTTCTATGAATTCCGTTTAAAATGAGGATTTGTGTTAGATTCTGAGTTTCTTGTATAAGCTCTGTATGAGTAACTTTTGTTACAAAATATTATAAAAACTATTTGCAAATACTTGTAACTGTATACTTCAACTCTCCTATGTCCTAATGTTTTCTGTTCCTTATGCTAAACTACAACCGAATTGGCCACTGTTCAGCCATTCATAATCAGTGTGGCTGTTTATGTGATTGCACACGGTGCGATTAGATTGGACGACCTTTTGCTTTCATCCATTTTTGTAATGCTTTTCATCCAATATTTGTATCGGGTAATTGCGGTGTAATTCAACCAGTTAGCTAACATTTTTTTGGCCCCCATTTGTGGTCTTTCAAGCGAATCGATCAGGAACGTCTACTTGGTACGACGACTCTCAATCGACTAGCGCATACCATATTTTGATAAAAAAAAACCATACAATTTTATTCATTACCAGATATATTTCCTCAAAATGTAACAATGTGTACGATTTCTTAAACTGTCCAGAGTCTGGATTGTATGATAGCAATTAGGAGAAGCTATCTTGCAATTAGGAGATAAAAATTGATTTTGATGAGTTTCTAACTCGCTTCTACACTGGATTGACAATCGGCAAATATGTTTGCAGAGCAGAGAGAACTTTCAAATGTTTCCAGAACTTTCTAATAATGTGTTTAAATCTTCTGCACGGACGCATTATGTGTTACATTTGTAGTTTCAAGAAAAAAAAATTACACCGCATATTGGAAAACAGCAACTCTCGTCAGCTCTTTCCCGTGCTATAATTTTTAAACCCACTTATTGATGACGTTAGATGTTCTCTCCTATATGCTGTCATATATGCGCGTGTGTGTGTGTGTGTTTGTGTAGGGAAGCGATTTTGGAAATCGTTGCAGAAATGCCGTTTTAAGGCATAATCACGCGAAGAACGTGCCTAGGGCTTCGGGCAGCAGGGAGCCTCGCAGCGGCCCAAAAACAAAATTTCGGTGTCGGTTGTATTAGCAGTTTAGTACTATATTAATGAATTTAACAAAATGCACATGGAAATGCAATGCATTCAATCTATATCTGATAATGAGAGACCGAGGAGCTGTCCTGGTTACTATTAAGGTTAGCGTTTTTGCCTAGGGCTCCAAAATTCTTAAAACGGTCCTGAGAAAATGGAGAAAGAAAAAAATACTATCTATCACAGTTTTAACCATTTCTCCAAAAATTGTGTCTATAAATAAGCCTTAACATTATATATATATATATATATATATATATATATATATATATATATATATATATATATATATATATATATATATATATATATTTTTATATATTTATATATATATATATATATATATATATATATATATATATATATATATATATATATATATATATATATATATATATTCAGTTTTACTTATGGTTACAATATTCTACATGTATAATTTGCGCAATCCTCATGCTAAAATGATACGAATATATTACAGAAGTTAAGGCAATGTGCTTTTTCCATCAAACGTTTAGTTGGAATGTTCAAATATTTTGCACTTTCAATTCATGTTTCCTCCAGCAGTTGAAAAAATGGTAGCTTAACTTAGAGCAGAGTTCCAAGAATGGAATATGATTGCATTTCAAGCTAACACCCTGATGCAAAAATAGTTGAATCTTAAATATGGTGAGACAGTTTTTAACAATCTTCCAGATTTCTAATGAATCCCCATATATATATATATATATATATATATATATATATATATATATATATATCTATATATATATATATATATATATATATATATATATATATATATATATAGATATATATATATATATATATTGTTATAAATCTTACATGTTTCCGTGAATAAGTATTTATTTTTTAAATTCTGCAAGCCATATGACAGTACGATGCAGAGTTTCTTTGCTCAACACAACATCACTGTCCATAGCACGCATGCAAATCACACACGTTTTAGATTTTATAGAGAAGACATCGATACGATCAGCAGCCACGTTACTGACCACGTTGATAAGAACAGATGAGTTTGTGTCGACTAGAACTGAGGATGTAATTTGATTCACGTGACTTCCAAATACTTCAATTAGGCAAACTCTTTGCACTAACATTTTGCTGTTACTGGTAGGTCGTTGTACGAATGGGCTTCCATAATTCGGACCACCATTATCTGTTGAACACATGTCACGTGATTTAAATACTTATACCTTTCAATGCCATGGATAGTATCCTGTTTTGAACGCGCTATTAAGTTATTAAATACTATTAAGTTATTAAATACTATAATGTTTTTAAAAACTATTATGTTATTAAATACTACAAAAAAGCATTATTAATGTTTACAGCACAAACACCTTGAGTTCTCTGGATGGTTTGCTTTAATATTGCTTTCAGAATAACAGGATTTTGGAGTATTATTGAAGGACAGTGTAAATGAATATTGTCAGAAAAATGTGATGATATTTAGCCGTCACCATTTTCAAAAGTGATGGCGAGTTTTCTTGCATTTGTGTCATTTTGTTTTATTGTATCGCTCCTTTGCTGAACTAGATTTTTATTTTCCCAATCATACTACACATATGCAAAGACAATAAAATTCGTTCTTTAATGAAAGAACAATCGTACTCCGGTTCTGATGAAAATACGTACCCCTGTCCTAAAAGCAAGTAATTGGTGCTTTAGTAATTTATTTCTGCAATATAATAATTTAAAAAGGAATCCCTGATCAT